CATTACTCCTCACATTTCATGTCCCTATACTCTTGTTCAAAATAGAATAGCTGAGAGGAAACATCAACACTTAGTCGAAATCGTCCTCTCTCTACTCAAACATGTCTCTATACCCTATAAATTTTAGGATAAAGCAATATTTATAGCAGCATCCCATATCAATCGAATGCCCACACCTTTACTGCACTACAAGACCCCATTTTAGATGACACATCACAAAATCTCAAATTTATCAGTTTATGAAAACCTAGTTGTCTGACTTATTCTTGTCTACAACCATATGTATCTACTAAACTGGACATGAGGTCTAAAAGGTGTATTTTTCTGGATTACAATACATTCCATCATGGCTATAGGTGCCTCTCACTTCTTTCATGCAGGATTTACATTTCTCAAGATGTTATGTTCAATGAGGTAATCTTTCCTTACAAAGAAATTGAAACTAACTCTTTCATACCTTCTTAAGAAACTCATGGTGTCTTGGAAAAACATCCTTCTGAAATAGAATTATCCACTATATTCATTCCCATTGTTGCCTCCTCCATTGATACGTCTTTACCAAAAACATTCCTCTCACTCAACAATGACCCTATGCCTTCCCCTTTTCCACACTCACCTCCATTTTCATCTCTTGCTTCCTTGTTTGAACCCATTTCTCCTAATTCAACCTTATCTTCCAAATTGCCATCCTCAAATCCTCCAGGTCATATTCCATCCAATGACCCTTTATCTTCATCTAATCTCAATCATAACACTTCATCCACTACCCTCAAAACTCATTTACTTGCTGAATTGTACTCAACTTAGCATCCTCTCCCAACTTGTTTCTCAACCACCTTTGATTTGCCATATGAGCCACACACCTATGCAAAAGCCTCCAAGGACTCATTATGAGTTCAAGCTATGAATGAACAATATCGTGCTCTACTCCATAATCACACATGGAGACTAGTTCCTCGACTCACTACTCGACAAGTCATCGGTTGCAAGTGGATTTATCAAGTGAAGGATGCACCTGATAGAAAAATTGATCGATACAATGCTCGATTAGTTGTTAAAGGTTTTCATTAATAGGAAGGTATTGACTTTCATGAGACATTCAATCTCGTCATTAAGGTGACGACCATCCGGCTTCTTCTCTCTATTGGTGTTAGTCAATGTTGGAGCATCTGTCAACTAGATGTCTCTAATACATTTCTAGATAGTGATCTCCATGAATTGATCCACATGGAACAACCTAAAGGCTTTGAAGATCTTCACTGTCCTCATCATATATGTCTTCTTCAAAAATCCCTATATAGTCTCAAACAACCTCCTCATGAGTGGTTTCACAAACTCACACAATATCTACTTCATATCAGATTCACTGACTCTAAAATAGATACACCCTTGTTCTTCTAGCACACACCTCTTCTATACATACTCATCTACATTGACGATATACTCGTCCTCAATTCATGCAGACAATTCTTGTCAAGTCACTATAGTCTCAATTCACAATCAAGGATCTCAGAGCTGTTCATCACTTTCTTAGTGTCGAATTTATACTACACCATGATGGGTACATTTTGTCTTAGTTTAATTATACATTATCCCTCTTGAAGTGCACTCATATGGAAAATCGCAAACCTCTCTCCATGTTGTCTCCTGTCTCCACAATTTCTTCCACTTTTTCTATATTCGACAATCCAACAATCTATCAACACATTGTGGGTGCCTTGTAGTACCTCAACATTACATATCTAGACATCTTGATGTGACTTAGTTGTTGTATAGTAAATCACACAAATTTAAAATTTATAAAACTAGAAAATATGAATTTTCAGATATTTAGAAGTATTTCTAAATAAATATATTAATTATAATTTAGTAAAACTTCCAAAAATAGTAGTCATTTTCTAAGTCAATCACAAGGATGTAATATAATATCTTGTAATTATTTCAAATTTTTCTCAAATAATATTATTTTCTATAAATTTTAAACTAAGAAATAAAAAGGAAATATATTTAAAATTCACAAAAAAGAGAAATAAGGGTGTGGATGTCAGGATGACATCAGCACCTACAAATGCAAATTGGGCACTAAATGATTAAAAAATGATTTAATTGATCAAATTAAGATTTGTAAAAGTTAGAAGAATCATAATTGAACAAAGTATATCTTGGTAAATTTAAATCACACAAATTATCAATAAATAAAGTAGAAAGTAAGTTGAAAGTAGAAAAACAGAGTTACGGCGTTGCAGCGGCGATGCGTCGGCAATGCACCAGAATCCTGAATGTTTGCGAGAATCATCGTGCGATGTCCATAGCCTCGAAGGCTCTCCTTAGACAAAGACGACGTGGGCAATCTCTAGATCTCCTTGTGAGGTCTAGAGATCAATGAAATGGGTCGTCAAATCATCTCTGGCAGTTGTCATCCAGCAAAACAAAAAAATGGCGACTTTGCAGCTCTCCAACGACTGTCACCTAATGGAGAGGAGCTGGATGGAGGTAGGGCATGTGTTAAGGAGCTTCATCCTCAGGTCCGCACAGTAAAAGGAGGCTCTTCATCGCATCCGGTATGCTCTCAAGAGGTGGTGACTCATCTCTCAATAATTCATCCTCTTCCCGACGACGACTTGTTCGTCAATTAATCAAAGATACTTTAGTTGATAGATTCGTGATCCTTTTATCGCGAATTGTTCAACAATTTTAGTAACAATACTTTGTGAATCACATTGATGAGATTTTTACTAATGATCTAGTGATTCTGGTTACTTAATCCTTCACTGGTGATCTACAAGAAAGTCGCGATAATCAGATAAAAAATATGAGTTTTGACTCTAGGAGGATTCGAACCCCCGCTGGTTACCTATCTTTTTTAGGGAAGGTGACGTAGTTTAGTCCCACATCACTTGTGTGTTAAATTTTCTAGTGAATATATAATAATATTACATTTTCAATCAAGTCCATTTCTTATGCATGTACGACCACTCCTTACCCCACAGCTAACTGGCCATCAATGATGTGGAAGGGAGGTGGCACACACATGCCTCTATTGATTCAAGCTGCTCAAGCCCTTACTTGCGGCTACTCTCCCGACTGCGCTTCCGACCTACTTGTGGGCTCAATTGGCCGACGGGTCCCCCCCATTTTATTTTATTTTTATTTTTATTTTTTTTCCTTTATTTATCTCAAAAGTAAGATTATAAAAATCATATAAATTCATATAACATCACATAATTACCCAAAAATTCATGTTACTCAATTGAAAACTACTTTTCACACTTTAACACAAATATAAGTTTATTTATCATGAGTTAAGGCTAAAAATATCTTATTTACTAATTATTAACTCATGATAATGAAGACTTATCACATCTTCTTTGTTGTAAAACGGACGTGTCAATCTATACACAACCCACAATCCAAGGATTAGACCTCGTTCAAGTATTTCCTAAGGTATCTCAAAGGCACAGTCAACCATGGTCTACTTCTCTCCAATTGACTTGATTTGTCTTTTACTACCTTCAGTGATGCTAATTGAGCTAGATCATCCACTGATCATAGATCTACTAAGGAGTACCTCATGTATCTTGGACAAAATCTGATATCTTGGAGCTCCAAAAAGTAGCAGCGAGTTTCACAGTCCAACACTGAGATAGAGTATAAAGCTCTTGCTGATGGCACTACAGAGTTGAAAATGAATTAAATCTCTTCTTCAAGAACTTCATATTATTACTCCACCCACATTGTTGTGTGTTAATATTGGAGCTACATACCTATTTGCAAACTCAATATTCCATGCCCACATGAAGCATGTTGAAGTAAATTTCTACTTCATATGAGAATTAGTGGCTGCCAAATAACTCTTTGTAGTTTTTATCTCCAACAATGATTAAAAAATTGATCTCCTCACTGAGCCTCTATCAAAACACAGATTCCTACATCTTCATTCCAAGTTTTATGTCGAATCATCATTCTACTTGTGAAAGGGTGTCAAGACCATAGTCAATCACCTCTTCTAAACTTGACTAAGTCAACTCAGTCTAGTTCTCTCAACTTGGTTCACACTGTGACAATAGATTTCTATTGTAACTACCTTTCTTATCTTTTCTATTTCTACGATTTCATCTCCTATATATAAGAGATCAATTGTAATTAACAGCGAGTTTTGATTTCTAGTATCACACGATTCACTCTCCATTCTCTTCTCATCTTTCTCTCTTATCTTTTTTTTCTATTTCTCTTCAGTGTAATCCTTTATTGAGTCCATGGGTCTACAATTCCTTTATGGGACCAAAAGAGTGTATGTGACACGATCTTCTTTCTATAATTTAGTGCCATTTTATGAGATTCAAAATATGAATATGTTGCCATCAACATCCAAAAGGCTACAAATAATGAAACATCAAGGAAGACAAGAGCTAATCCCATCAATCATGTGAAGATGCAATGAGCCAAGGTGATAGTTTTAAGGTTGTGAATGGTTTTTTGACATTGAACACTCCATTAAAATTAAGTCTTTTGAAATTGTTCCTCTTAAATATATAAATTTGGAATCATCTGAATATTAAATAGAAGAATTTTGAGTTATCTGAATATTATACATAAGAAACCATCTCACCTTTACTCCATTACTCAGACTAAGTTTTGAAATCATATTAGTCATTATAAGCTATTTTACTAAATATAATATGAGAAACTGAGAAATATTGCTACACCATTTATGTAAATAATTAAATAGGATGGTGTATATATAAGGAACCTTAGTAAACAAACTTATGCATATTTTGACAAAGAGGCTAGTTATCATTGAAATTAAAACAAAGTTATTGAAACACTTCAATCGAGGATAATCAATATCACATCTTGCACACCACACAAGTTAAAAGTAGGCAAACATTCATAATGTTCTGCCTATTACACACATTCAGAATCAAACTCACATGCAACTGCTGGTGTTTCCCCTTATGAAACGATGTCCTTGATCATAGATGGACTCTTTCTCATCACCATCACCAAGTGAAGCTAATCGATTGGAAGTGAAGATTGTTCACTAGGCCAGAAGAACAAATTCTCGCCACATCACTGCGCATCTCTCGGGGACCACTTACCAGAACTCCACTGTCCATATTATCGAATTGGAGCAATATCTCTGCAAAATGACAGCGTATGGCCTGTTAGTTTATGGTATTTACCAGAACAAGATTCACATCTTCAAAAGAAAACAATAACCTCATTTAAATAATTTTAAAAACAATGAAAAAAACTATTTTATTTTGACAAATAGTTATGTTTTCCTCTCATTTTGTTCCCAAATTCGTTGAACCCAAAACTCACGGCAAGAATAATGCAGATGTCAACCTCTTTCCCTTGATGTTATCGTTATGATAAAAAAGAACTTTAGGATACAAAAAAATTTACTTCAAATATGCAAGTTTTAAGGGCTTTTCTCCATGCATGCTGATCAATGTCTCCTGATGCCGTCGATTTCCAAAACGATAACGCGAGGAAAATGGCGATCTTACCCGACGGAGAAGGAAGAATCGACAGGGGGAAGAGAGAAGAGGATGAAAGAACAGGGTGCTTACTCTGCAGATTCGGCCTTTCTCCATAGTGCACCGTGGTCGCCTTGAAGAGGGCCTCGTGTGGGTGGCTTTCCAGCTCTCGATCGGCATTGTAGAAAAGGGAGGCAGGGGACGAGGTCGGCGTAGGAACGTCGAAGTTCTTGATCTGTGCCGCGGAAGAAGATGACGCCCTCCTCACCCACAGGAAAGCGGCGCTGGCGACTCCGGCGATGGAGACGCACATAAAGATCAGGGCGAGGACGGCCTTGGAGGAGTACGAGTAGACAGTGTTGGTGTTCTTGTCGATGGGGTAGATGTAGAACCGGCCGACGATGCCCAGGAGAAGGAGGAAGAGGATGAAGGAGGAAGAGATGATGGCTCCCAGCCAGAGCCAGCTTCGAGGCCCGAGGATGGGCGAGATGGGGACGTCAGAGGATAGGGGCTTCAGCCACACGGTCTGGATGCTCTTCCTCGGGTCGACGATTGGCTCCTTCTCTCTGGTGACGAAGGCGTCGATGATTAGGTCGAGCTGGGAGGCATCGAGCTTGCCGCCGGAGAGGGGGAAGAGGAGGTCCAGCGTGGTGAGGTCAGCCGCCGTCTTGAAAGCGCAGATTAGCCGGAGCTTGGGGACCGGACAACTTTGAGCCGCGCTCATGAAGAGGAGCTCCCGGATTATCGAGATGAACGGTGTGATCCCGCTCCCCCCGCTTACCATGATCAGACAGTCGTGCCTGCAAGAAGATCAGATATCAGCGTTTGCTGCCAGAGAAATTCATCAATATTATTACGGCGTTTCTTCCCCGTACCCGAGGAAGTCTGTGGAGACGTGGCCGTAAGGTCCCTCTACGGCGATCTCCAGGCGTTCCAAGGAGGGCGAGGAGAGAGCCTGATACAGCTTCTGAGACCAGCTCCCTTCCTTCTTGATGATCACGCTCAGGGTGTCGGGCTCTAGGTTACTGTTGGAACTGATGGTGAACGGGTGCCACTGGAACGTCGACACGCTGGGAACGCAGATGAAGACGGAGCTGAGGACGCTGTAGCTGAGCCCTGAAACGGATCGCAGGCCTCTCTGGTCAAATCCGGCCGATCGGTGAGGGATTTTTCTGGGCGCAGTGAACTGCGAGCGTTACCGGAACTCTTCGAGAAGTTCAGCTCGACCGTCTCGTTGGGGAGGAGACGGGCGGAGATGAAGCGGACCTTCTGCTGCGACTGGAGGAAGCGGAGGTAGCGGTCCAGCAGGAAGAGGTAGACGCCCGGGAGGACCAGGTAGAAGAAGGAGATGCCGACGTGGAGGAGGAAGAAGAACATGAAGAGCCCGTAGAACTGGTGGGTGTAGAAGAAGACCTCGTAACTCTTGCGCCTCACGCGTCGGAATGTCGTCGCCCAGAGGATCAGGCCGAAGAGCATGGACAGCTCTCCGGCCACGTTCGAAATTCCGGCCTTATCCCACTTCACCATCTGCACATGGTAACATAAGAACACGTTATCGGTAAGGAGAGAACAGCTGCACCTTGTCCTAGGCCATCATTTGATCTCTGGTCCTCTATCGCTCTCTCCCTCTCTCTTACTGTGCCTACACAGGGATCTTCGAATACCTCACAGATTTCGTCGTTGATGGCCCAGTAGATGATGTAGCCTGCGCTGTGGCCGAAGAAGAATATGAGGGTGATGTGCCCAAGCCACACGTGGTACTTCACGCTGGCGTCTGACGTAAGCCCGAACAGCGGCAAGATGGACGACCCCCGCGTCACGGGGAAGAAGAGGAAAGCGCAGCTCAGCGTCCCGATCAACGCCATCCGGAACGATGCCGTCCTGAACCTCTGCAGTGACCTGCAACAAGCCCCGGTCCTCGTCACAATCTAGAAGCAGTGTGTGTGTGTGAGAGAGAGAGGGGGGAGAGAGAGAGAGAGAGAGAGAGAGAGCGGGGGAGAATGGAGGCTCTTCATACTCTGAGGGCTCGTCGTGGGACATGCCACCGTGCATCATCCCGCCGTGCATCCCCGAGTTTGACTTCAACTGGTCGAAGCCCGTCTTCAGGTAGGTGGCGAAGGACCAGATCACCAACGCTATGAACATGAGGAAGAAGGAAAGCTGCATCCAGGAGACGATCCCCAGAGGACCCTTCGAGAGTGCTGGCCTCCCCCAGAACGCGAGACGATCGTCGAAGCTCCGCTTTGAGAGCCTTCCTTCGGCACTGCAGACGACATCCAGGTGAACACAGACAGGCCCCTACGCTCGGGAAAATCTGAAGAGTGCGGAGGAAGAAGAGACCTCTGGCTGGAGCTCGATATCTCCTTTAGATGAAGGTAGAGACAGCCCAGTAGGGATATGAACATGATGGGGAAGGCGAAGATCAATATGCTCATCCCTGCCACCCGGATGACGGAATGGGTTAAGCTACCAGGAAGAAGAACAAGAGGAAGGAAGACAACAAGAGGGAACTCTGAGCTTCTCCCACCTTGCGAGCCGAAGTAGGTTGTGGAGTTGAGCTTGTCCTGGAGCTTTATCCGCCAGACGTTTCTGTACGTGTTGGTCGGCCTCATGAGCCACATCAGCAGCCACCCGACGAACACCACCCAAGCCAGTAGTTTTAGGCTCCGCGCCGTCATCCTTGCGGCCTCCGCCATAGCCAGCAACTCTTCACGGCGATCCCCCCCTCCTTGTCCCTTCTCCTCTCTTGCTCGCCGCCACCCTCTGGTTGTCACAGAAGAATAGCGCTGCTTCCAAGGCAGGATTTATAGACGACGGCGAGCTGCACCCGCGGCGTAGAGGTTGCGTCTGATGCTTCCACGCCCAAGGAATGATGCGTCACCGTCATTGTGGCCTTAGAAAAATTGGCTCCTGTTAACCTTCCCAGTTGCCGTCTCTTTCATACACCATCCCTCGCAGGGCGGCATGCACATCCGTGCCACTGCGACGTGCTGAAGAAAGGAGAGTGATAGAGAGAGAGAGAGAGAGAGAGAGAGAGAGAGAGAGAGATTGGAATAAAACGTTGACGACGTGCAAATGTCTACGGCAACGTTGCCATCGCACCCCTCGCTGCTTCTTTTCCATGTTTATTGGCAGGGAGGTCAATTAATATGCTCCGGCCCCGGGCCAATTCTCCGCAGATAATCCAGCCCGGATGTTTTGAGTTACATCCCTCTCTCCTGATCCTTCTTAGAAAACAACCAGAGGCCATTTTCCGGGCACCACGCCGGCTTCGGGTATCACATTTTCCGTCAACTATGGAACCCATTGTTCGAACTCTTGCCTCGGCCAAGTCCGGGCCTTACAGCGTTCAACCCTAAAGCCGATTGCCCGGGCCCTTCTCTAATGCCGGACGGGCTTGGGACTCCACAGGGTCCGGGTGGTTGACCTTGATTATTAAAATCCAAGTGGTTCAGGCCCGATCAAGTGGTCGCGTTGTCATCCGACGGCAGCGTCCCTTAAAGATCTGCAGAAGTCACGTAAGTTCTTTAAGACTGTATGTCGGCTCCGCCATCAGACCTTAGCGTCGGCCACCTTGTCTGTGTAGTACGAGTTACTCTCCTTCCCTTCAATTGCAGTACGAACCACGTGGAAAGAGAGAGAGAGCTAGAGAGACAGCGAGAGAGAGTTAACGAGACAGCAAGAGAGAAATAGAGAGAGAGTTAGAGAGACAGCGAGAGAGAGATAGAGAGAGAGAGAGAGAGAGAGAGAGAGAGAGAAAGAGAGTGTTAATGAGACAACGAGAGAGAAATAGAGAGAGAGAGAGAGTTAGACAGACAGCGAGGGAGAGATAGAGAGAGAGGGAGAGAGAGATAGAGAGAGAGAGAGAGAGAGAGAGAGAGAGACAACGAGAGAGAAATAGAGAGAGAGTTAGACAGACAGCGAGGAGAGATAGAGAGAGAAGAGAGAGGAGAGATAGATAGAGAGAGAGAGAGAGAGGGAGAGAGATAGAGAGAGAGAGATAGAGAGAGATAGCGAGAGGGAGAGAGAGAGAGAGAGAGAGAGAGAGAGAGAAGAGAGAAGGGAGAGAGAGAGAGAGAGAGAGAGAGAGAGAGAGAGATAGCGAGAGGAGAGAGAGAGAGAGAGAGAGAGAGAGAGAGAGAGATAAAGAGAGAGAGAGAGAGAGAGGGAGAGAGAGAGATAGAAAGAGGGAGAGAGAGAGATAGAGAGAGGGAGAGAGAGAGATAGCGAGAGAGAGAGATAGAGAGATAGAGAGATAGAGAGATAGAGATAGAGAGAGAGAGGGGGGGGGGAAGGAGGGAGACCCCCCCAGCGCTTACTCTCGTGTCAACTGTTCTGTAGATCTCTCGTACTGCTTGTACTGCCATGCCAAATCTCCAAGAGAATCTTTAGCCCCCAAAACTAATAAACTACCATTCATAGCTCGCTTCCAACTGGTCATAGAAATCCTCAATATTCGCTGTAATTACTTCTTGAAGAGTCAATAGCAAGAATAATGAAGTCAGATGAAGTCACCGTACTAGATTGAAGGAAAGATAATGTGGCAAGTATATAAGAAACATTAATTAATTGGTGAAAAATGCCTACTTTAATGCACCATCACGCATTTAAGTCGGGACGCAACGAAAATAAGTATAAAAACTCCTTGCACAATGATGCAATAGGTAGATATTTGTTATTCCTTCATAAAGAACATAAGTAAAATATCCGTTGACCTATAGAAAATTGCATGAAGCATCTAATATTGACACATGATAGATAACATGCAACCATCACGATCACAGTTCTCAGCTCTATGGGGTAGACTTTGATTTTCTATTATCACACCAATCAATTTAAAACTTATTTGAATCCATTACTTTTCCCTCCCTGTACAACATCATTCAATGTTAATGCCATGATTTACCATCATTTAATTATATGAATAAGCTGTTGTTAATAAGCCTGCTTTTGATGTTCAGGTATTTAAATTCATATTCATTAAACTTTCCACTCTTACACCTCATATAAGATAGCTATTTCCATGTGCTATTATATATTACTAGATTCTAACTACATTAATATGTGATTCCCTAATGGGAAGGACATTGATGATGCTGAATAAAATAAGTTAAAACTTTAAATCTTCCATATGTTGATAAGTTTCTATATCAACATATAAGATGTAGAATATAACCTTCAACAAAGTTACATTTTAACATGTCATAATATCTAATTTTCCTTAATATGTTAAAATATTTTCAAAATATATCTTAAAAAATCCTAAAAATTAGCTCACTAATAGGAATCGTATCAAAATGTGGACAAAAAAAGCTAGTTATTATAAGTTATTATATTAGAATATCAAATAATCATGTCAAAACAACCAAAGTTAAGAAAATATCACACTAGAAAATTATCATGGATATTTAACCATTTATGCAAAATATCCCCATGTATCCAAGTCCACACCAACAAATAAGAGAACTCTATGAAGTGTCTCAATATAATTTAGAGTGTAAACTACAACTATAATCATAGAAGTATAATTGCAAGGTTAAACTTTTTATTTTTTTCATGGTTACTTTTTATTTATGAAAACATCATTTTACATCTCATAATCATATCATGCTAATAGATCATGCTAGGTCTTAGAGGGCCAAGGAACAAAACATTAGGAGGGGGGGGTGACAGTATTTTTACCTAGTCCAAAAATGATTTAAAGTTATGTGTAGAAATAACACAAATTTGGTTCAAGTTAGTTCACTCAAAATATTGAAGTGATAAGCATCTAATTTATAGTTTTTTTTCCCACTATTCCAACTCCACTCTTCATAAAATATTTTCATATGTTTCACTATCCTTCTAACAACACTGTTGAATAAAAAAGATGATAGCTCATCAACAATGAATTCATGGT